TCTTGCTCTTCTTTTATGTTCATACATTTTCTTTTCGGAATTTTCGAGACTTTTGCATCAGTATCCTTAATTCCGCCCGGCAATATGCTTCCTGGCCAGAATTATGATGATGGCTTATATTTTCATGATATAATGATGAAATAACAGTAATTTTGAAAATTTTAAGATTTAGAGTATCCGGAGGTCGTTATAAAAAAGCTCATCAAAAGAAGGACGGCTCTACTTTTATATTTTATTGGCCAAATTAATTTCGCCAGGAGTTTCATCAATCATCAATCGTCAGTAGTTTCATCAATCGTCAGGAGTTTCGTCAATTGTCAGGAGTTTCGTCAATCGTCAGTAGTTTCGTCAATCGTCAGTAGTTTCGTCAATAGTCAAGGTTTCGTCTGACGAACCCATTTCGTCACTGCGAAAATAGTTTCGTCAGGCATCATTAAAAAGCAATTATACTTCAATCTATTAATTTATAATTATAACTTAAATCTATTAGATATTATTATTAATAATTTATATAAAAATTAATATTTTAGATATTTTAAAATATATTAACATATCATAAAGGTGTAAAATCATCTTGAAATTTTTACTAATAACGGGATAATAATTTAATAGGAATACATCACTATTGAGCAATATTATTGATGAAATCAAACGAATTTGCCATGCAGCTCGTTATAATAAATCAATTTGTAACATCTTTATTGAGTTAGTAATATGTTCAGCAGAACCAATTGTAAGGTTATTACAATATAAAAAAGACGATGTGAGTTTTGAGTTAGAGAACCTTAAACTAGACGATTTAACCATTCTTGAACAATTTAAGATTGCTTTAGTGAATATTAAAGAACTTTCCAAATGTATAACGCAAATATAAGGATGTTATAAGCATTAAAGAAACATTCGAACAAATCATAGAGAAATATAGAACTTGAGTGAAAGATATGAATCCAAGGTTTTCGATAACTGACATTAATGAATATGAAAGTTTGAAAGATAACAAAATTGATAATGTAGGTTAAAACTACCATATTGTCAATTAACAGTATTATTTATCTTTACTATTTTACAGTTGCACTTCTATATAGTTACATTGTCTATAAAAAGTGTTTTTTGTTATTACAATTAGTGCTCCGAACGGGTCGGGTCGGGTTACGAGCCAACCTGAACCCGACCCGAAATTTCGGGTCGATGAGCCAACCCGAAATTTCGGGGCGATGAGCCAACCCGAACCCGACCCGAAATTTTAGGGCTAATATATTAAATTTTTTTTAAAAATGAATTCAAATAGCTTTTTTGCTCTTAAACGTTTAATAATTCATGTAACGATGATCATCGAAGTCGGCTAATCAAATTTAATCGCGGTATGCTTATAAACTCAGCGGGCTACTACAGTAAGAATTGTGCATTGCATATTCAGAATCAATGAAAGTTTTT